GGTTTTATACGATATTCCAGTGGTGTTTTTTGTAACTCAGTTGTCGGAATAATCAGATATTAGAATCGTTGAATTCTAAGTTATGAACACTATGAGATAGTGTATTGACATGCCAAAAATAGATTTAGTTTCAATGAGAAATAGAGGTCCAAAGTGGATTGCTTGTAAAACACAAAATAAAATATTTGTATAATGTTCCATACTGAAAGTATGAGGTGAAATTATTTTTGTATATAAAGGGAAAAATTATAATAAGGTCTTGGGTACATTTTGATGTCTTTTGAAATGAGATATCTTGGCCAAATAACATTAATCTCTTTTTGGCCCAAATTCTTTTTGCTCTTCTACTATCTTATATATAAAACTTGGCCAACTCTTTTCAGATGAGTGACACATCAGCATTGGAGAGAACCCCATCTGTCCTTTTGAAATTTTAATAAAATAAATAAAAATAATATAACAACATTAATTACTTCTAAGAAAACAATAATAACAAAAATGTTTATAAATAAGGCATTCCCCAAATAAATTAAATTAAAATGTAATCTTATATATAAAACTTGGCAACTCTTTTCAGATGAGTGACATATCAGCACTGGAGAGAACCCCACCTGTCCTTTTGAAATTTTAATAAAATAAATAAAAATAATATAACAACATTAATTACTTCTAAGAAAACAATAATAACAAAAATGTTTATAAATAAGGCATTCTCCAAATAAATTAAATTAAAATGTAATGTATTTAAAGTCTAACCACGAAGAACATACAAAATGATATGATTTAGTAACAGAATTTAAGAAGAAGTAATCATGAAAGTTAATGGGAGAATTGCTTTTATAATGTCAATTGAATTAGCATTTGTCCCCTTAATGTTTTCTATTTTTTTTGTCACTTTTTGACATAGTTGCCTTTAAATCAGTTATAGCAATTATAATTAAAAATTAATTCGAAAATATATTTTAAAAATTTCGAAAATACCTAAAAAGGAATTAAAAATATTTCGGATATCATTTATGGAAAAAAAGTATTTTTAAAATTTGTTCTACGCTTAGTAGAATGCATGTTCTATGTTCTACGTACACGTAGAATCCCATTTCTGTAGTTCTTCACATATTCTACCAGCCTGTAGAAGTCGTTTTCTATAGGTTTTTATAAATTCTATCGATTGGTAGATTACAAGTTCTACTGGATAGACTATATTCTACATGTTGGTAGAATACATCTTCTACCTATTAGACTAGGTTCAACGTTATTGTAGAATAGTTCTTCTGCCTATTGACTTCATTCTACATTAATGTATAATACATTTTCTACCAAAATCTGAGAAAATCTAGGAAAATTAGTTAACTCCCAGATCTAAAATATTTCAAAAATATTTATAAAAAAAAAATTCCACGTTTTTTAATCACGGAAAATATTTTTTTTAGATTTAGGAAAATCTAGGAAAATATTTTTTTTTAATCAGAGAAAATATTTTTTAGATCTAGGAAAATCTAGGAAAATATTTTTTTTTTTTGCTGTCATCGTTCTCTTCTTCTTCTTTCACATTGATCTAGCAGATTTTTTCTGAGATTACATATCTTGTGCTTCAAACATGTTACATATCTATGTGACTTGTGGTTCATGGAAATCAATTGAGAATTTTCTAAACCCTAGAATCGAAACTGAATAAAAATACTGAAAGAAATAGTGAAGAATACGACCAGGCGGAGTAGGAGGAAGAACAAAGAAGTTTTTATTTACCGGAAATTGCTTTTCCGGTGACTGTAATTGGAGAAAAAGAAGATGAAGACACGGTGAAGAAAAAGTATCGGGGTTTATGAGGGTTTTTTTATGTTTTAGTAGAAAAATATTTTTTTTCATTAGTAAAACATTTTTTTAAAATTAATTAAGTTATTAATTCGTAATTAAAGGGTATAACTGGACTAATTTCAATTAAACATTAAAGAGACAAAATTTATTTAGAAAACATTAAAGAGACAAATGCTAATTCAATTGATATTATAAAAGCAATTCTCCCAAAGTTAATAGCAGTAAAGAGCAATTATATTAAACGTTACAAACATTATGTCAAATTACAAATAATATTATAACTTCCAAAATTTATTTAAATCCATTAACGAGACAACTACAGTATTACTAATCAAATCACAGACTAAAAAATAATCATAATAAAAGTAATAATGATATTAAAGGATATGAGCTGTAAATAAAAAATAACAGAAAATCGACTTCAAACATCTACACATCAAAATGCCGGTATGTTTATTTAATTTCAGTGATTTGAAATGGAGATGACTAAGACTAATATTTTTATAGAAATAACAAAGACTTAAAAAATAAAAAAGAAACAGATTTATGAAATTTACTACACAGCAAACTCTAATACCATCGTACCAAGATTTTCAACAAGTTCTATTTACTCAAATAATATATTAACAATTATCATTAGTCAATTTCATTTTAAGCCACAATCTTGCATCTCAGCTTCCACTAATAAAGGGTTATTTTCAACCAGAATTCTTAATAACTTATAAAACTAAAATCATTGTACAATAAATTATAACTATCTGCGCGTAGCGCGGAGATTCACCTAGTATATTTAACGTCAATTGATTTGGGGGATTTGAGATCTAGCGATGGCGGTGTTCAGCGATAGGGCAGTCTCTCCATTCTACAAGGCTCTGTATATTTTTGTGGATGATCCTTCAATGGATTCAATAGTCTCGTGGAGCAAGAGCAACATGAGTTTCATCATTTGAGATCCGGTAGGGTTTCTGTGAGACCCTCCTCCTTTCTTCTTTTCTGGGAACCAGACGGACCGGCTATCAAATTCATGAGATTTCAAGTCTGCTTTTTATCTGGATTGGCTATAAACTCTGAACGCCCCAACCACTTTTTTCAGTGAGCCCAACGTCGTCTCTCGAGGCCTGTGGTCCCAACGTCCTCTCTCTAGACCCGTGGGCCCAACGTCTTCTCTTTAGGCCCGTTGGCCCAACGTCCTCTTTTTTAGGACCGTTGGTCTCCACTGTCTGATAGTCGGTGCGTTAGTCCGAGAGGCTCGTAAGACTTGTCTATTGTCCTGTGATCTTTCCCGTACTTTTTTCCTCGCTCACGGGGTACCGCGGACCACTTCCCGGTAGGTCACCCTTCCTAAATTTGTTCGATCTTTAAGCACGCTTTACTCTGAAGTTCTATCAAGATATTTGACCGAAAAAGATATATGCGCTTTGATGACATAGGTAACCAAATCAATTCTTATAAACATTTTCATATATACTAGAAATCAGGATGTTACAGTTTCACACAAGAATTATTTCCCAAGAGCGTAGGTGTGTATCTTGCGTCACTTGGCCAGCGTTTTTCAACGAGCTTAAGTTTCATGTAAGTTTAGATTTGCAAGATTAACTCTAGTAAACGTCGTCATCATCTCTCTCTGTTATGGTCCTTCTTCAAAGCCAAAGAGATTTGTAATCAAAGACAAAAACAGATATTTTGTGGTAGTTAAGACTACCTATTTTGGTTTTTCTCATTGACTTAAATAGGAAAAACAAAAAAGGTGGAGTCATCGACTCCTTACAAAACGGGAACGAGATAAAGTGGAGTCATAACTCCTTACAAAGTGGAAACAGAAACAAAGTGAAGAACTAGTCTACGTAAAGCTCGTTCCTATTATTTGAACAAGGAAATAACTTAAAAGAAATAAGTCATGTGGTTCTTTAAACCAAATACTTCCTGTGTGGCCCTTTTGTCTTGTTGACTTTCTCAACACTAACTCTTCTTCTTTTTGACTCTGCATTACGTTTCTGTTACTCTGCAAATCAGCTCTGGCCGTGACTGGTATCCACTCACTCTCTCTCTCTCTCTCTCATCTTACTATATGTGTTTTTTATGTGTATTTTTTTGTTGTTGGTATAGGGATTTGTGAGATTTAAATCTGAGCAATGTGAATTTGGGCATAAGAAATATTTTGTGGGAGGCCAACCTGAGCTTATGAGGAAGTTGCAGCAAATTACTTTTCAGGAGCATACGCGTAAAGCTCTGAAAGCTATGGCAGAGAAGGATAAACGAGTTGAAAGATTGAGAGCTAGAGAGATGGCATTAGCAGATGGCGTGCTTCGTTTAAGAATCTGAACCTTGTTTAGTATGCTCAAAGCTCTGGTTGCTACGCTCGCTTTTAATGAGTAAACAACCTTTTCATGTTTTTGTTGTTTCTTTCAGTTTCAGTTTCTAGTGTCTTTTGTTGGGTTTCGTTTTCATGAATATAAGTAACAAGCGTTTCATGAGTTTGGTGTTTGTTGCTACTTCAGTTTCAGTTTCTTTCTTGTATCAACGTGTCTTTGGTTGAGATGATGAAATCTGGGTGTGTTATGTTTTATCGAAAAAAAAACGTCAATTGATAATTTGATATAGGCAATTAATTGTGATTGATTTGATAACATAAAACTCAATTCACGTCATTAATGATAATCAAGTCTCAATCTCCTCTTGTATGGCTCTTACGTTGAGCATATGGGCTACAAAATCAAGCCGTTAGCATCTCATTCGATACAGATCTAACATATAGCAATCGCTCTCTTCTTCTTCTTCTTCTTTATGTGTATTAGAGTTATAGTACAACACTGTTTATAAGTTTGTTAGACTTCTGATAGAGTGTTGCTGATTAGAAGACTGTCGCAGGTGTATTCTGTGACTCAGATCGTCATAGAACCGTCACACTACGGAAATCATCAAATCTCGACTCTTCCGATGGTAGTTTCCACTTGCAGTTTTGTTGTAATCGTTTTCCATTTTTCATTATATACTTTGCATATTATTCAGATTGTGCCATTTTGGTTGATTGTGGGTTCTACATATGCAACACAAGACATCATTTTTATAAATGAATATAGCATTCAAAACATAAAGTTTTTGCAGTTGGGTATGGTGACACGTTGACAATAATAACCAAAACTAATACAAGACATCATTAAACCATATGAAGTTGCAATGTCTTTATTCATTAATAAACCAAGCCAAAGAGAGAGGTCTTGACACGAGGAATCAAGCAGAAGATGGAAAAGCAATAAGAGGGAACCTTCGGAAAATCACGAGACCAGTTGCTTCAGTTAAACTTTGATGAGCCTTTTGTGGCTCGACATCCATTCTCCAGTTGAAACGTTTCACAATGTTGGCCAATGTCACCCCAATCAATGCCGATGTGAATCCTATTCCTGGACATATCCTTTTTCCCGATCCAAATTAAATGAATTTGAAATCTTGTCCCTGAAAATCGAAATCTGAGTCTAAATGCCTTTCTGGCCTAAATTCTTCTGCATCTATCCGCTGCGGGCCAGGCCCGTTAAGGCCCTAATGGACGCGGACTTGGACAACATATATTTTACCCAATAAGAAGTGGGTTTTATAGGTTGATCCGCTGCGGATCGCGGATTAAACGGGTCAATCCGTTGTGGATATGCGGGTATGTGGGTTAACCCGCAAATATATATATGTCAAAGAAAAAAAAACGTTTCAGAAAAAATTAAGACATTTTGTTACTACTAGAGTCTCTTATAACTTAATTAAAAACCCTAAATATAGCAGTCAAGCAGAAAACTCAAAAGTTAAAAAACCAAAATATTAAAATTAAAATAAAGTTTCTCAGTTCTCCCGTCAAAGATAACATCTGCTTCTAGTTAATTATTTTCAAAAAACTAAATTCAACAGTTCAGTCACCTTTGTAATGGTAAGTTGTTTATTTTTTTAATATTGTTTATGCTTTATCAATTTTATAGAATCTGCCATGCTTATATAAGTTTTTGCAGTAACTAAAATTAAATTCTCGATGTATAATTCTTTTTAATGTATCTTGCATACCTGTATATATTCATAGGTTTCTCATTCAATAAAATTATAGAATTCTATAAAATTCATATGGTAAACCCTCAACCTTATAAATCTTCAATAAAATTAAAGATTTATTTTCAGCCTGCGGGCTGGTCCGTTTATCCATTGGGCTTGGCGGGGCGGGCTTAGACATAATTTTGTTGTCCGCAATCTTAGCGGGCCAGCCATCAAAGACCGCAAAAATAAAAATCTGCAGCGGATGTGGCCCGTTGGGCGCGGACTGGCCCGTTTGACACCCCTACCCAAGTTGTAGTGTCTCGTTGAATTGCCCAAGCATTGATTATAACTTGTGTTTCCCAAAAAAAATTATCATTCATTTCTTTTTTATTGAATTTAACACGACCATAACAATAATTGAATTTAAAATGAACCATAACATATCCATCATACAGGCTAAAGCCAAATGTGATGAAACCGAAAGTTCATCAGATTAAATTTTTGCACACATATTAAAAATCATTTAATTGAATTTTTGAAACTAAAAACATTATTTATTATTTATCTCAAGACAATTGGACTAATAACAAAATGTAGTTACAAAATTATAAAAAAAAAGAAAGAAAGAAAGAAAGAAAGCTAATTCAAGAAAGAAAGAAAGCTAATTCATTTTACGTTGAGAGTTTTTTTTTGGGTTAAATTTAGGTTGAGAGTTAAAAACATCGTATTTTATGAAACAACATTTTTCTTTAAAATATCACTCCTTTTGACGGGGAGAGTATATATTTTCTTTTATGAGTTTAATGATATATTGTAAAAAACTAATTTCATGAAAAGCTAAGGAGGAGTTTCTTGAAAAACATATATATCTATAAACTAACCAATGAATTTGTTTCACCTTAATTTTATTTAGAAATTACATTTTGATAAAATCCAATAAAATCTTCAATTACATAACTTCCATAGTTTTTTTCATAGTCTTTAATTGGCTATATTTTTTTTCGTCCTAATTTTCTTCGTTATACCTCGACATTTTAATTTTTTTACTCATTGGATTGAAATTACCAAATATAGTTATCGAAAAAGGACAATAAAAATGTGGTAAGTCTTGCCATTCATATATATTTTAATATATTGAAATAAATTTTGGTTCGTTGTGTTAGATTATTATTATTTTTATTTTCCTTACTGGATTTATAATATTTTCTGAATTTCTTATATATGAAATACTCTAAAAAAAATTGTTTGGTAACCAAAATAGTTATCCAAAAAATTATATCATAATATAAATTATTTTCTGCTTGGAATATAAACTAGATTTTAAAGCCTAAATTATGACTGTATAATTTAAGTGTTTACAACCAAATACGTTAGATTTGTAAATCTTAACTGTGGAAGTGGAACCTCAATAAATTAATAATCACTATGAATTAATAAATTTCTCTGGTCCCGAATCGAACCAGTGTAAAAATCCATCAAATTCGATAAGATAATAAGATAATGTTTTTTTTGGAGATCCTATGTAATATATGGTCCCAACATAAACATAAATTAATAATTATAAAAATTTATGTATATATATATAGGTAAGATATAATATACTAAAATATGATTAATGTGTTTGTTTTTATTTAAGTTTGAAATTTTATTGAAAATCATCTCTTTAGTTATTTACATTAATAGTTTTTAATGTTGTTTTTCTAACTCCATTCAAAATTTGTAAAAAAATTTTAGATGTCATAACTAATTTTCTTACGCATAATGTTTCAAAATAGATTATGGTATTGTCTTCAATTTCAGCACTAACATTAAGGATAATAGTCATATTTTTAAAAAAATAAATTATACTAATGAACATTTATATTTTTACAGAGATAATTCAGTCCATAATTAACAAATAGAAACAGCTATTCTATTACGATTGATATGATTAGTAACCATAATTTTAAGTTTGTGCATATCATTTTATAAGCATATGAGTTTAGGTTTTTAAATATGACACATTATTTGAAAAAAAATTCAAAACAAGATGGGCGAAAAATATTTTTTCTCTATAAATTAATCATTATTAATTTATAGATAAATTAATATCACGATAAATTAATAAAATATCATAGTCCCGACATTATTAGTTTATAGAGGTTTTGCTGTACTTATTATTTTGTTGATGTATGAAATGTGTTTTGATGTTTATATTACACCTCTCAATTACGTAAATGTATATCGACATAATTTGAATTTTAAGCTTTATTAACTAAATTTAGATAATTAAATAACTAATCTATATATTTATAAGTTTTGAAATGGGTTAATCCATCTTTTTAATCTGCCTTTAAGCAGCTCACTATCTTGCAGATTTTGAAAAATTAATCCGTAAAGAACCGCTATTACAAAAGCATAATTCTAACCCGTCTGTTTATACTATCGTATAATATAAATATTTACTAATTTTTGAATATTTAAAAATTTAGGATGATTAATTATTATAAAAATATAAACTAACGTATTCATTTCTAATTTACGTTATTATGAAAATAATATTTAATTTCAAATATTTAAATTAATATAAATTAATATCGAATTTATTATTTTTGAAAAGATACAATAACAAATGGTTGTGATTTTCGATAAGTAATCTAACCTAAATAAATCCAAAATAATCTAAATTAGTGTTTAATCTTTGAAATTAAATTTAAATTTAAAATAAAATATATTGTTTATTAATATTATAAAACATTAACTTGTTTTGCAAATGAAATAGTTATCTAAAAGGTATATCCTAATATATAAATTTTGTCCCTTTGAAAACAAACTCTTTTTTAATAGTATAGATATGTGTTTTTCATTATTTTAAATTAACTTAAGATTTTACCTGTGTGCCAGCAGCAACATTATATCCCTTTAACTTGACGTCTTCACTATATACTCTGGGTAGGCCTGGGCACGAGACGAGTACTTGCCATTTTTGGTATACTTGATACTTGACTTGCCCCGTTCAAGTATCAAGATATTTGTACTTGTACTTGACTTGTTAATATCAAGTACTTACAATTTCAAGTACTTGCCAAATTTTTCATTACTTGCAAGTTACTTGGCTTGTCCCGTTACTTGTAAAAGTACAAACAGAATACTAAAAAAACTAAAATTTCGGGCCATATTTAGTTAAAACCTATGATAATATTTAATATTTTGACCTTTAGGTTTTTGGAAAGCTTTAGATATTGAAGTCTGGCAACTTATTTATCTTTTGATAAGCAGACTTTTCTTTCCTTTTTTATGTTGTAATCGATGTGGAACAAAATTAAAAAAAAAATCAGAGATTTGAAACGAGTAACGGGTCAATAAGACCAAGTAGTAACTTTTTTTTAATACTTGATATTTGCCTTATACTTGCAAGTAATCTTCTTAAGATACTTGATACTCGACTTGATCAAAACAAGTACTTAGTTTTACGGGACAAGTACGGATCAAATAACGAGTACGGAACGAGTACCAAGTAATTGTGCCCAGCCCTAACTCTGGGAACTAATAGTGGAGCAGGAGGACGCAACCGTAACGCCTCCTTAATAACAGCTTGTAAATAGTTCATCTTCTCAGCTTGTTTCTCCGTTACATAGAAATCATGTTGCGAACTTGAACGAATCTCTTCTTGGAGTTTCTTCATGGCCTTTGGATGTCTTATAAGCTCTGTCATTGTCCATTCAAGAAATGAGAGAGTGGTTGCCGTTCCTGCTAAAAACATATCCTGAGAAAAAATAAGAAAACGTCAACATAAAAAAAAAGGAAGACATGCGCAATAGCTAGTTTTTATGTTTTGCAAACTTATTTTTATAGGAAGAAAGGAATTGGCTTGTAACAAAGATCAGTGTGTGGTCTAGTGTTTTTTAGAAGAGGACTCGTCGGGTGGGTCTAGGCCAAAGAACGAGTTTCACCATCTTTGAAAATCATTGGGATCCTTTTTGGTCACTATACAGTAGACGCCTTGTGCCGAAAAAATATCTATATAGGTCTCCGAGCTTAATTGAGGTTTGGCTCAAGATCTACCCGGTTACCAAAATAGGAAATAAAATAGAAATGGTTTGTCTTACCCATATCATTAGTTTTAAGGCATTTTTTTCAAGCTCGAATTGTCCTGTCTTGTCTCTTTGAATCGCTAGTAACTTATCAACAAAGTCCGATCTGTTATTTTCTTCTGCATCTTCATGTTCTTGTACCACTCTTTCCAGAAAGTTATTAAATCTTGTATCTACTTCCTCCATTTTATGATCGAGACCGCGTATCCTATCAATCCATGATAAACTCGGAATGTGTTCACCAATAGGAAATTCGCCCAATAGTGCCGCAAACGTACTCACTATGTTCTCAATATCAATTTCATTTTCTGCACCGCTATATTTTCTTCCCAGAGCAACTCTACATATTATATCGTTAGTCAAAGTCATAAGAAGTTGGCTTAGATTTACCGGTGAAGGAGAAGGAGAAGAACTCGCTTTTTCTAGCTTTTCAATCATTAATTTTATTTCTTCTTCTCTTATTTTCTCATATGACCGGACCATCTTGTTGTTTAGTAGATTCTGGATGCATATACTCTGCATCCGACACAGATTTGAAATGATTCGTTAGTATATATAAATGATATTTTGTATAAGTGAGATATTTTTTCAACGGGTTAAAATGAGCTGTACTTACAAATTTGTTGGACGCTATGTTAGACAATACATAATGTAAGTGTTATAGAACTACCAAAAACAATTATGAATAAAATATTCTACTAGGAAAAAAAATACGCCAAAAATAATATACCTTCATTTGTCCCCAATATTCTCCGTAAGGGGCAAAAGCCACATCTCTCCCACCATCCAGAATTTTATCGACCACTTTTGTTTTGGGGCGATTGGCACACTTAAGATCGTGCGTTTTCATGACGTCATGAGCAACATCGGCCGAGGAGACTACGAGGACTGGTGTGCGGCCAAAATGAAGAAGCATAAGTGGTCCATATCGGAGGCTGAGGGAACGGAGAGAGCGGTGGGGATGGATGCTGAGCTGATGGAGGTTTCCGATCAGCGGAAGTCGCCATGGAGACGGTGGTAGGTTCGTGGCGGTTCCTTTGAGGATGGATTTTAGGAGGAGAAATGTAAGGAGTGTTGTTAAGCACAAAGTGATTATTAATATAAAATCCATAGCTAATATAATTTTCATGTATGTATTTTGTAAATCATCTATAGTATTGTGATTTGAGCATTTCATCTCCCTCTCTACGTTGTAATTTATAGGGTTAAGGATCCATCGGTTTTTTGTCTATATATATATATATATATATATTATACATTAATTAAATTTGATTGAATGTAAATTACGAAAATGAAAGAAATAAAGAAATGAAAAAAAGAAGAATATCTGGTCTTCGTGAATTCATCTAAGTTAATTGAGAATGCATACCTACCAACTGGTGTGGAACTGTTGATGCCAACTTCACTTGAGCAGTTTGTTGCGAAAATCACTGGTGTGTTCGGCCCGGAGCAATCATGAATGTCATAGCCCAAATAATGTTTTTACTTCAGCGTATAGAGTTTCGGAAAAACGGTCAATTTTCTTATGAATTTCAGAGTTTCTGATAGTTTTGACTTATGCCAAAAACTACAAAAACTAAATAATAATTTCAATTTTTTTACATAAAATATTGAAATACAGTTAATCTTACTATAATCGTATATGGTGTAAGTTTTCCATATGCGATTAATGACGGGATTGACATGTTATTGTATGTAACTTTGACGATTTTTTTATAAGTTAGAATAAAAAACCTTCTTCCAATTCAAACTCAAAGCCTAAAAACCAAAGGTTTAACACTCTACCAACTGAACTAGACAAATGTTTCTAATGATAATTGGAAAAAATGCCAAAAAAAAACTCTGAATTCATAATTTTCAACCAAAAAACCATCAATTACTCGGTGGATAAAATATATATTTAACTCTCGTTGACTAATCCATTTAATTCTCATCTTTTTGACCAAGTCGTTTTATATCCTACATTAGTCAATGTTGGGGGTAAATTCGATATTTCCTACGTGGACGAGTCATCTGCTTGCACGTGGCATTCATGACTTTTTTGTAGGTATGGCCTGTGCCAAATTAGGACTCGTGTTGGGGTTACATTCCAACACGACCTAAGCATATAGCACCAGGCTTCGAATCCAGTCAAATTCGAGAGATCTGGTATGATAGGCCACATATTCCTGAGTTCCTCGTATCTGATTTTTTTATTCAGAATAAAAATGTTACCAAAGTTTATAACTATTTACAAAATATAATAATTCATTTTCACAATTTTACTGATAAAAATTAATCATGTTCATGTTATCTTTCGTAATTTTTAATTTTATTATTAAATATTCACAATTTTTATAAAATTCTTTCTTAATTTGAGAAATTTATTTAAAATAAATTTTGGGTTAAATATTGTTGGGATATAAACTTTTATCAAAAAAATAAATCATGTAATTTTTCTCTGAGCTTTGATGTATCATTATCACTATTTTAATCTAAAATTTTGTAAAACATAAACTTTTTGGTAAAATAAATTTAGCATTTTTATTTCCAAAAAAACTTTATATTTTATTGAACAGCGTTGAGTCTAAAACGGCTTGGTCAAAAAAAAAGTTGAAAATTAAATGGATTAATTAATAAAAATTAAAAATTTATTTTATTCACCTAATAATTGTGAATTGAGAGTTTTTTTGGGCATTTTCCTAATAGTAATGATCTAATATTTATATAGATATTATATTAAAGAAAATCAAAGCTTGTGAGAGTCCTACCCAGACCAGCGAAAGTTTCAATCAAACGTAAAAAAAGAATTGGGGTGGAACCCGAGAAAATCTAATTCAACTATGAGAGACATCGCTTCGTCGTGTTCTACAATAATAGAAAATCCAGTGATTGTAGTTTGAAATCGAGAACTCCTCTATTTGGTTAGGGCATCAGAAAACATTGACAAGTCGCCGCCACAAGATTCTCGTCGGAGATGGAGGAATTGAGACTCCGGGAACAAGAAATCAATAGGAAGAAGTAGTTTCGGTTTTGAATTTCTAAAAAGGGTATTTTCTTATTTTTTTTTTTTTTAACTTCTACTTTATTATTATTATAATATGGAAGATGTTACATAGTCAGAGTGAATTACATGTGAAATTGATGGAGGTACATAGAAATAACTATAATAACTATTATTGTTAGGGATACTCTGCTTAGCAAGAAGATCTGCTGGCTCATTATTTATTCGGTTCACCCATTCAAATCGGATACCTTTGAATTTACGCTCCCAATATCTCACTTCACGAAGCCAGTTAAAAGTTGAAAATTCAGTTTACCTCCTGTGATTATTTCAACCAAACTTTGATTGTCTCCTTCAAATATAACTCGATCATATCCCTTTCCCCAACAGTATTGCATCGCAATAATTAGTGCTTGAAATTCACTCTCCAACGCCTTGTTGCATTGTCGTCCAATTGCTTGACCTGCTCCTTTATATACACCTTGATCATCTCTAACTATCCACCCTGCTTTGGCTGGAATGAGATTGTTGACGAAAGAACCGTCGTAGTTACATTTGATCCATCCTGAATTTGGCCGCCTCCAGGAATTAGTGCACCGACTTTTGCTCCGTGAATGATTACCATGAGTGCCCGATGTTTGAGTTGTGTACTCCTCCATATTCTGCCATTCTGTGGCATCATTCTTTGCAAATTGTAAACTGTTCTGCCATGTGATATGTTTTTGTTGGAATAACAAAATATTTCTACTCTTCCAAATCCTCCAAAGTATCCAAATAGGTAGTTGTTTGTATTGCTTGGAAATGGCGATGGAGTTACAGCAAGATATACAGGCTCCAATCTTCTCCTCCAATGTCCGTGTTGGATCTCGCAGTAATGCTGAAGGAATACCAGATGATCGCCAAATAGAGTTTGCATAATCACACTCAAAGAAAAGATGTTTAGTAGATTCTTCTGTTTGGCAACATCGTAAACAGAGCGTATGATGCCGAAGGTGGCGTTTCCTCAAAGTCTCACCAGTTCCTATAGCTCCAGATAATACTCTCCAAAGAAAATGTTTGATCTTTGGAGCAATATTCAGTTTCCATATAGATGCTTTGAGTTGAATATCTCCTGGTGGTGGCTCTGGACGATCTATTGTTGGTAGGTGTGTAGCTAACCAATAACCTGATCTCACTGTGTAAATCCCATCATCGTTATAATGCCATCCAATTAAATCTTGCTCAGCCGATGCACAGAGTTTTAGATTTAATATTATCTCAGCATCTTCATGAGTTACCAAAGCTCGTATCCTTTCCTCATTCCAATCTGTTTGTGTTGCATTCATCCATTGTGACACTGTTTCATCAATCATAATGTCCTGTCTTGGTAGAGGAGGACGTGGTGGATGAGTTGGGAGCCATGGATCTCGCCAAACTTTTGTAATTTTACCATTCCCAATGATCACACGAAGACCTTGTTTTAAGAGGTCTCTTCCCTGTAATAAAGATTTCCAAGCGTAAGAACTCTTTTTTTTCTTGTTTGCAGACAGAAGAGAGACATCCCCAAAGTATCTTCCTCTCATGATTCTTGCCATTAGACTTTCTGGTTTTTGCATTATTCTCCACACCTGTTTCGCAAGTAGTGCCAGATTGAAGCTTTCTAGATCTCGAAATCCAAGACCTCCCTCTTTTTTTGGTAGACTAAGCCGTTTCCAAGCAAACCAGTGCATGCCTTTTTTATCTTCTCCGGAACTCCACCACAATCTGGCTAAGATACTATTTATCTCTTCACAGATTTCTTTTGGCAGCTTAAAAACATTCATTGAGAAGATTGGCATCGCATGAGAAAGAAATCGTTTATTCCAACCACTTGTTCTGCTTTTCACCTTTTCCGTAATGTATTGGAAAAGTTCAGCTTTTTTACCTTCAAACTCTTCTGGTAAACCTAAGTATTTGTTGCCTCCTCCATCATTGTTTATCCCCATGATGTTTCTCATCATTCTTTTAGTGGTATCACTAACTCGGCTTCCAAAGGTTATTGCAGATTTTCGCAAATTCACAGCTTGTCCGGATACTTCTTCATAATCCGATAGCACTCTCTTGATTGCTTTGCAGGATTTAACGTTTGCTAATGAGAAGAATAATGAATCGTCCGCAAAGAGTAAATGACTGATTGCTGGACTATGATCACTTATCTTGATTCCCTGAATTCTTCTTGCTGTCATTTCACGATTCATCATATGCGAAAGAACCTCTGCACATAAAATGAAAAGATAAGGAGACAGAGGATCTCCCTGTCGAAGTCCTCTCTCCGGCTGAATCCTTCCTTTGGCTGAGCCATTGATAAGAACAGAATAGCTGACTGTTGACACACATCTCATTATCCACCCGATCCACCTTTGATCAAATCCCATATATTTCATAGTTTCTTCTAAGAATTTCCATTCTAGGCGGTCATAAGCCTTTGTAATATCTGTCTTGATCGCCATATAAGATTTTGATTGACGTTTCCGGGCTTTGAGACTATGAAAAACCTCATGAGCAATGAGAATATTGTCAGTAATCATTCTTCCAGGGATGAAAGCAGCTTGGTTTTCAGCAATGATGCCATTTAAATGACGCTTCAGTCGGTTAACCAAAATCTTGGAGATTATCTTGTAAGAGACGTTGCATAAGGCAATAAGGCGTAAATCCGTCATTGCAATTGGAGGATTGACCTTTGGTATTAAGCAGATGTTGGTGTGATTATGAGCTTGTTGGAATGCACTTTCCGTGAAAAAACTCTTGACTTCTTGAAGTATAGTTGGAGAAATGTCTTCCCAGAATTTTTGATAGAAATCCCCGGTGAATCCATCTGGTCCCGGAGCTCGATGAGGCCCTATGTCAAAAACCGCTTTTTTAATTTCTGTAGTCGTAACTTCTTTAGTCAGATCATCGTTAATAGCTGGTGTAACCCTGCCTTCAAAACCTTCGAACACGTCTAAAAGTTTGCTCGATGAGACTTATTGAGAAGTGTACAATTCTTGAAAGTATTTGACAGCTACATCCGTGACTTCTTCTTCTCCTCTGTGTATCACACCATTATCATCAAGAATAGAAGTTAATCTATTTTGTGCTCTTCTCTGCTTTGTAACAGCGTGGAAATATCTTGTATTGCGATCTCCTTCTTTAAGCCAATTCGTTCGGCTCTTTTGTTTCCAGAAATTCTCATCTTCAATATACGCTTGATTCAGTTCAGTTTTCAATTGATGTCGGACTGTTGCAGACATTGTTCCTTTGGATATCCCCTTATCTAGCTGGTGCCTTATAATTGCAATCTTCTCTGCTGCATTTAGACGATGTCTTTGTTTCCACCGTGAAATATACTTCTGACAACTAATTAGCTTCTTTAGCATTGATGGCTCAGAGGCATTTCCTCGATGTGCATTCCATCCTTGAATAACTGATTCTCGAAATCCATCCTTATTATACAACCGACTATCATATCTGAAGCTCCCTTTTCGCACATTTGGCTGATCTGATATAAATGTGACCATCGGTCTGTGATCTGATTCAGCAAATCCCAAATACTCCGTTTCAGAGGATGGAAACATCGAGAGCCATTCATTGTTAGCCATCGTGCGGTCAAGACAACAAGTTACATGATGTTTCCCTCTTTCACCTGCCCAAGAAAACCTATCTCCGATGGCTTTAAGATCAACAATCTCACATGTTCGAACCATCCTTCGCATATTCTGAAATGAGGACTCTGCACGTTTTCTACCACCTTTCTTTTCATGGTTTCCCAAGATCTCATTAAAATCACCTAATAAAAACCAAGGATGCCCTCGACGAGTAACTGCTAACCGTTCAAGCTTCTCCCAAACATGATCTCTTTGACTCGGTTCAGGATGACCATACACAAACGACAAGTAGAAGCTATTTCCATTACTTTTGACTGAGCAGTCAACTACATTAGGGGATTGAAAATGCACAATGAGATCTACTTCATCTTTCCAAAATAAAGCTAAGCCACCACTTAAGCCTACCGGTGGGACTGTTACATAGTTTAGAAAACCTAACTGACAACCTATATCCCTGATATAGTTATCCTTCTGCTTTGTTTCTGAGAGGCAAATGATGTCCGAGAGATATTTTCTGTTTATCTCCTTCAAGCGTCGAACTGTCAAGACAATGCCCAATCCTCGACAGTTCCAACAGGCTGTCCTCATGGTGGAAGTGGTGGTTCAGGGCCCACCGCGCCTCCCTCGGTTTTGGTTGTGGTATCAGGCGTTGCTTCACCACTGCTTTCCCCTTGTCCACGAATCAGTAGCTTATATCCTGCTCCAGTGAAATCCGATGTTGGAAACTTTCTCTTTCTTCCATACGTGTGTTGTTCTTTCCCATTGATTCCTTGCAAATCAGTTTCCCTGTTGCTGTTTACCAATTCATGTGTTTCCTCCATTGTTAAGTCTTCTTCCTCAATGATATGATCTTCTTCTTCCACTTCATGATCTTCCTGCATCACATTCACCTCGTGTTGCCCTTCATTGTCTTGAACTTCTGGATCTTCTGCAGCTTCATCATCATCAATTTCACGAATTAGGACTCCATGGTTTTGTTGTGGCATTGGATCCTGCTCATTCGCTTCATCGTCATCACCATCTGATGGATGGTCTGGTCCACCATTTTGAATGAGGCAGGCTCCCGAGTCGTGTGTTATCATACAACACACTTCACAGAATCCACGAAGTCGCTCGTATCGAAATCGCAACAAAGTGTTGATACCCGCAGAAAACTGGAAATTTCTTTGGAATCTGAGAGGACGAGTGATGTCCCAGTTAATGCAAAATCGAGCAAACTCCACCCTGGCCGCTGCTTCTGCATCAAACTCCACTTCAAGTACCATTCCCATGGCACACCCAATGTGTCGGATCACATCTTCATTCAGAAACTGTAGTGGGATTCCACGAACTTGTACCCAGAAAGGGATGAAATTGAGCATCACTGGATCCAGTTGTGGTGTCCATCTCTGCAAGACAAGCATTCTGTCGGAAAATGCCCATGGTCCTCTCCTTAACACATTCTCCAACATTTCTTCAGTGGGGAAGACAAATTGAAATTGCCCTCCTGCAATGATACGACCGTGGATCAGACCACCATAACCCCACATACGGGGAAGATTGGCGATGATCGATCTGAGATTTTGACGTCGAGGAATTGTCGGACGCCCCACAATGATGAATCTGTTTTCCGCCGCCGCTTGATTGACAACCATCTCCGGGAGTGCAAATGGTTCATCCTCAACACCAAGATCAAGATCTTGAACCGCTCTTTGTAGGTTATCACCCATTTTGAGAATGGTTTGATAAAATCGAAGTGGATAGTAAAGATACTCGAAAGATTGCAATTTGAAATGTGAAGAAAATAATTCCAGAGGTCTGTGTTTATAAACACCATCGGGTGCCAATTTCTGAGGAGATCGTGCATCACTAAGAATCAGAGGATTCAGAGTGGGGATAGAAGCCAACGAAATCGGAAAACGTGGGGATTTCGTAGTCGCCGGCGAAGAGTCATTAACCGTCACTAAAGTGGTGAAAGTAAACCGGAAGAGTAACCGTTGAAAAATCGTCTTTTTTGTCGCCATTTCATTTGCAATTTCAGTTATTTATTTTTAAATCCTTTTCTTCTGGGGTATTTTCTTATTTTTTTAAAACAATCAAAACGATGTTATTTTGTGTTGTTGAACTAAAAAAAAAAAAAAAAGAAGACAAAATTGCGTACTGTACCAAACCGGTGTACTATATGTCAGCCAGATTATTACCCATTGATGGAAAATTCACACCTTTTATAGTTTTGGTGAAAAATTTAAATTATTAGGTAGTTTAAGTAGTTTTTGGCATATGTCAAATTTTCATATATGAACTAGATTCTTACTCACACACCTGTGCGAGATAATTATTTTATAAATTAAGTATAAATATTATAATAAATTTTTATTATTTAGTTATAAAATTATTTAAAAAATTATTTTTATGGTTTTTATGTTGTATAAAAAAAATATATATTTGTGGTATGCATGATTCAAAATTAATAATTTTAGCTACCAAAATTTTTGACCTATTTTCTAAACTTTATTATTAATATGATTATTATAAATTATATTATACAATCAATCTATATATTTATAAGTATTAAAATAGGATGATCCATCTTTTTAATATGATTTCAATCAATCTACTATCTTACATATTTTGACAATCCAACCCACAAAAAATTAGCATATTTTGAAAATATTAACTCACTTCATCATATTAGTGTATTATACAAAATAGGATACTAGCCTGCACGCATGTGCGGTTTGAATGTTTTTAAATTTTTTTAATTTTATTGGGTATATTGTTAAGTTTATTGGGTCCAATTTTATAATATTGATAATTGACAGCGTGTAAATACAGTGTTTCTAATTTTGAGCCGAATGGTATGTTATTAGTATAAGAATTGGATTGTGTCTTACAATTGGCTCATATTTGCAGTTATAAATTCTAAGTAATTATAATAAGGTATGTATAATGAAAAAAGTGTAGATGAAGAATATATGTAATTATGAATATATACATTAATTTTATGTTCATAAGTTATTCATCGAAATGTGACATATACGAACATATTTTATAGATTATATGCGAAGATGTATTCATTTATTTCGAATGTATCTTCATTTGGAAATTGTGATAAATCAGTCAAATGTTATTTAATATATTTTAATTATAAACGACTTTTGGGGAATATGAAACACATCGAAGGAAATGAGGAGTCACTCTCTAAGAATTTTATAAATACACATCATAAAAAAATTTTGATCAACTAACCAAGCAAACAATTACTCAAGCAAACAATTACTCACTCAAACACAACCCATACTACAATTATTCTTCTGATGTGATCCTCTAACAGACGTACAAAAAAAAAATGTTTACATGAAAGAAAAATACATGTTTTCTTACATAATATTTCTTGTGCATCTGTGAAGAATTACATCAGAATAAGTAGTTTTATTCATTGTGTCGCCACAAAATTATTGTAATTATATTACTTGTGAATGTTCACTTTCTGACAGGAAGTATACTGTTAGTACTTTATACCAAATTCTGGATAGAGTATTGACAGTATACTTCTTGTAGAGTGAGATACAAGTAATTTTTCTCAGTAGGTAGTGAGAAATATATACCGTTTTCCATAATTTTTTGCTATTGTTGATTTTTTATTATTCACTGGAATTTTTTAGAAAAAAATTCTAATTATGTAGAAAATTGTTATTTACCTTGAATGAGATCCAATATTGTGGAAGAAATACGAACTTTTTAATTGGGATTTTTTAATTTGAACTATAATGATTTTCTAAATTTGTAGGATTGTTAGATTTATTATTTCTCATCACAGCAATTATTTAAAATAACAAAAAATCGCATTTTTCTATATTATGTATTTTAGTTAAATTTAAAATTTAAAAAGTTGTTCAATTTTATCAGAGATTTCCAAAATTTGAGATATAATTTCCAAAATATTTTAAATAAGTGATTTAATACACACTTTTTTTTGTAGTATATTACGATTAATCCGCATCAACAATACTTTAAACTTACAATGATAACAGTTTATTCACTAAATTATAAACTATAAGTTACAGTATATTTAATGAAATGTTAATTGGTTGACTGTTATATTAATTATGTAATATGTAATGGTTGCAAATGTAGTATTTAGTAGATGATTTACCTTAGTATTTCATATATTTAACATAAAAAGTATTGTAAAAAATGAAGAGGATTAAAAAAACAAAATGAAAGTAACTTATTGAAATAAAGATTGAACATGCAGTTTTAAAACTAATCTTAAGAAAGATATATAAATCTAATTGACCGGGAATAAGCCCCTTGGATAGCAAGCACTACAAGAAAATAACTATATTATGAAAAAAAAATTTCGTCACAATAAACATAATTTCGTAGCAATAAAATTATTGTGACGGAATTGTAACGTTTTTTGGACATCACAATACAGTCGTCACAAATTTTTTTTCGTAACAAAAACGTCACATCTGTTGTGATGAATATATCTAGTAACTACTTCGTCATCAATGGTGACGAGAAATAAAAGTAACAAAACTGTATCAATTGGAGACTAAAGAAAACGTTTCAGACCGTCATATTTTATGACTGTTATAATGTCTCAAATCTGTCACTCATTTTGACGAAATTTTAGTTCTAAATCGTCATAAATAATGACTAGGGAATCGTTGCCTATTCGTTATACTTACCTACTATCAGTTACGTAACTTATTTCGACGAAAATTTAGTTGCAAATCGTCACAAGTAATGACATAAAGAACATTGGCTATCGATCTTAATTTGCAACTATTTTTCGTCCTAATTAACTACTAATTAACTAATGATAAACTGACCATATTGAAAAAAACTATATTTTCATAAATGAAACCATGATACAAAAGATCAGTATTACAAAGTAAACGTACATAATTCAAAAAATAAGTTTATAAACTTGTGAATAAAGGATAGGTTGCTCAGCATCGTCCTCGGATCTCAAGCTTGACCTTTATCGCCTTGCAAGAAATCTCAAACTTGCTGTTGTCTTTGCTCGAAGAAGCTTTCATCTGGTTTACAACTTGCAAACCTGGCTCTATACCCATCTTGACCATATGTGAGTTGGAACAGAAACCACCAACAAATGAAATCTGTAAATTTTTCCATATGAGATTGCTGTTGAAAGAAACTTTATGCTGAAGTACCTTATTAGATGATTTCATAATTACCTGTTATTCCTTCTAGTGCAGGCTTCAGATAATCAGGTGAGCAAATCACATATTGTTTTAGTAAAAAAAAAAAAAACAGAAAGGCAGGTCATTTTCCAAAGTCTTTTAGTTTTCAAATTGAGGAAGAAACAGAATGCGTTTTTGGATTTTGGGAGTACCTGATGCCGGGTTACATCCTCGACCCATGAATTATGAAAAGTAGATCATCCAGACCTAATAACAATGCAAATACTAAGGTTAAACTATGTAAATACATTATGACTAACAAAGCAGATTTAAAACAAAAAGGACTGAAACTCAAAAGCTGGTAATGATACACAAATACCTGCAAAGACTAGATACGGAGAAACCTTGTCTAAGTGCCTCCTTGCAGATATGAGAACCAACATAAACATTTCCTCCGAAAACCAATATATTCATTATAGGACAAAACAATCTTAAAACCAATTTGATAGGTTCAGAGAGCAGAGAAAGGGAATATGTGAACAATTTTCTTTTTTAATTCACTCCTGATATATTGCGACCAACAAAAAACAACACAATTAACCAAATGATATTTGTCAGTTACAACAAACACAAAATGAGAGTATATCAACGAGCCGTCTCAGCTCTCCATAAGCCCAGAGGCTTCCACAAAACCTAGACGCATGATAACAGCACCTAACTCTTGTCTAAACTGATTACATTCTTAACTAGATTGTTGGTTTAACAATTGGATTTGATGAAATCTTACCACAATGTCTTATCAAAATCAAAAAGCAATGAAAAAGGTACCTTATCTCCTGGATGTGAACCTGCAGTTTTAGAAAAAATCCTTTCATTTCCACTCCGGGTGATTGAACTATCAGAAAAAGAGAAGATCATCATAAACTCAGAAAAGCAAGCACTTTCGTCGAACACATTGTGTGCACAAAATAAAGCATATAAAAATCCACAATGAAAGGTGAAGGAGCATCGCAGAGTTAATTACCACAGGAACGATAGGAGTTGGGATCGTCGGCTACCATGAGGAAATCAGGGTCAGAGAAATCCTTCTCCACTTGATCCAATCCCCCCTCCTCCTTTACCTCTTTTGGCACACAGGTTCTATTGCATCCTCTTGTGAGCACAGCCACGAGGCTTGTATATTTGGGGATTTTTGATTGCTCTCCCCAAACTGCCACCACCAAACTATAATACAGATCTGTTTCTCCATCTTTAGCACAAAAACGTCGGAAAAGAGCCAACCAGTTCGAACCCTTGGCGTGAAGCCCCTTGTCTCCGACGAAGCTCATACCCATACCACCACCAGTCGCCGATTTCAAGCTCGGGAAAGGAAGCTTTGGATCTCGACGGTGCTGTTTGTTTAGGATGAAGTCACACCAAATACGAGAGAGAGAATCGTTTTGAGAAGAGGAGGAGATGAGAAGAGGAAGAAAAACTTAAGAGAGGAAATCGTGTTTCGTGAGGAGGAAGGGAAAAAGAAAAATCAAAGAGAGAGAAAAAAAATAGAGAGAATCGTGTTGTGTGAGGAAGAAGAGAGGAGGAAAAAAAATTATTTCTGTCAAAACCCTAAAAAATTTGGGGAAAACATTTCACCAAAACTAAATTTTTCCTAAGTATTTAGCGCCTATGACAGAAATTAGACTCCAAAATCATTTATTGCTTTTTTTTGGTGAAATTATGAGTTTAGCATTAGTAAAGTGCTATAATAGAGTATTTGAAGTTTATGAGTTTTTTTTTATCAACAGCTTAGATACCTAGAACAGTATAGTTATGCAAACTTGAAGTATCGAGTTTACATAATTAATATCGTGAGGGTAGATCTGAATACTCCATGCTAGGTTGTCCGTCTTTATATTCTTCATTCGTGGGAGAGTTATTTATTTTTAAATAAATATTTTTTATATTTTTCAGTTTATGAGTTATTTATTTTTCAAGTAAAGTTAACTTTTTGCATTTTAAATGTTTTTAAGTGATTTGCAATGATTAAATATTTTTTAATTATGAAATCGCCGAAAACCTAAATCTTAAACCCTATACCCCAAAATCTATGTCTTACACCCTTATATATTAAACTATCAAAATATATACATACCCTATACCCTATACTTTATACCATTAAACCTACACCTCAAATCATATGCCATAAACTATAAATAAAAGATCCACCAACTTTTTCTTCTTATGTATATTGTAATAGTTTTTTCTATTCCGTTTTATGCTCTTATTATGAAATAATAATTTATTGTATAATTTTTTTATAACCTGAGAAATAACAAAGATGTATTACAAGCGTGAATCTCTAAATTCTAAATCAAACACTCTTTAATCCAAAAAGTTATTAAATTTCTATAGTAATAAAAATATAAAAAATATATTTCAAATCCTATATCTTTTTATCCTAAACCCCAAATTTTACACTTATTAACTTTTTGTTTTTATTTTGTATTTTGTAATAGTTTTTTCTATTCTATTATGTATTCTCAGAATAAAACAATATTTTTTTTTATGTTTTCTTATTTCAATTGAAATAAAAATAAAAATAAAATTTATACCCTAAATCACACATATTAATCAGTAAAAATAATTATATTTCTATTATTAAAATACTAAAAAATATTTGACTCACTCGTTGGTGATTTGACATTTGTTACTTTTCTGTTCATAAACTCTTACCCAAAACTTTGTTAGTATATTTAATTAGTAATGCTAATGATCCAAGATGTTCAACAAACAACAGCATCTTCGAATTCTCAAAATCAGCAATACACATTGTTTAATTTCTTGAACAACACTACGTCAGATACAAGTTTTTAGATAAAACAAAAATAGAATAGAATAAGAAATTCATTCAATTGGGTTTTTGGATGTTTATCTGAATTAAAGCTATTTTCTTATTTATTTTTAAATAAACTTGTGATTTAATCTTTTCACATAGTGGTAACAGTTATGTCATAAAGTGGTAACAATTATGTCATAATATATGACCAAACTTAAAAGTGACTAAAATAGTAACTAATTGTGATGATGTACTTACAAAACATTTGTAACTTTGAGTGACTTAAGTTTAGTCACAAAAATCGTATAATTTAGTTATTAAATTTGATCGCAAATCTGTAACAATATTTGTTACTATATATTATGTAACAATTACATCACAACTAGTGACAAAAGTTTGCTAATTTAATTTGGTCACAGTATTATGACGAAATGGTAACGCTTTTATAACTAAATATTTTTGTCACGGTTTCGTATGAAAATCGTAACAAAATTGTTACAAAAAATGTAGTCACAACTTTTCGTAACAATATTCACTTTTTTTTTTGTAGTGAAGCTCGTATATAATACCATTAACTGTTCGGATATCTTCATAACTGTGAGGACCTCTAATGATATTCAATAGACAATCCAAATAAAAAATTTTCCCATCATAAATTGAATACTGTTGAAGAATAGTTGGATTTCCTGAACCCTTTACCCGTGGCCTCCACTCATGCAATGTGGCATTCCAGACAAATTGATGAGATAATTCAGTGTAGAGCATGAATCTGGCAGTTGCGTATATCTTGTTACACTCCATCCAAGCAATAAATTTTGTAATTTTCATTAGTTTGTCGACCTTGTTTCACTTGGAAGAATGTGTTCTTGGTAGATGAAATTGAATAATTTCTGAAAACAAACATAAAGAATTTTTTTAAACAGTTAAGAGGAAACAAATAATGTATGATAATAAGTTATAAAGGGTAAGTCATTATAGTTCTATCAAAAGGATTCTTAATAGACTAAAGTTGGATGCATAAGGCTTACATATCCTGTTCATAGCAGTAGAAATGGAGAATATTGAGAATTTTTATTCAGTGTAACAAATATAGTTGCAGTTCACAAAAGTATGATGTGAATATATAGATGGATTAAATAGGGCATACACGAATATACGAATACATTAAAGATTGCAATATGCATCTGGTTTTAGAAAGTAATAAAAATATATCAATATCATTCATATTATATTTTAAAAATCCCGAATATATGGTTAGATAATTCAATTTATACATAATTGCTTCATAAGAATATTAGTTCGAAATTATCAGAGCACAATATTATGTTACCATATATTGCGGTTTAAATAACACTGTAAAGAGGAAAATCCAAACTTTTCAATATTTTGTATGAGCTAAGTTGTGTGAATTAGACGAAGAAGACTTGTGTAAATATTATGTCCATTTATCAAAAGCGAAAGTAAAAAAGTCAAACTGGGTGGTTCAAACAGAATTCCCAAGAAAACATAGAAATTTGGTGACATTGAATATTTTTTAATTACCCTATCCTATATAAAATAAGAGTTGCTTCGATTATAAACATACTTCTAAAATTTACTCTGCAACCCTAAACGTCTGATAAGAGATTAGAAAAAAATGTAGAATCACCAAGAAAAACGTTATGATGAAAACGGATTACTAAAAATTAATCCACCACCATTGAACATGAGATTTGGTGTGGAAGAAACACCATCACCTCCTCCAATTTCTGAATCAGAGATGGAGGAAACTAATATGTGGGAAGAGATGAATGACTTTCTGAGCAATCAACTGCGAAGGCCATCGTAGTTCCTTCTGAGGTAATTTAAACTTTAAATTATTTGGTTTTATTGATTATTTCTGTATTATTGGATGTTTATATCAATATGTAATATCTGCAGCCTGATGAAGAAGAATCGACTGATGATCCAAAGGAACATTGTAAGAATGAAAAACACGATCTCCATCTAGATCTAGAGATATGTTTGAAATGTATAGAATGCGGATTCGTTAAGACAGAGATCCGCTACCTAGATACATCTTCGTGGGTAAGCTGTTAATACTCCACTAATACATTGATTTGTTTAACTAATTATGTTTGAAGTTAACTACATTATATGTTTTTGAATCTTATAGGCACATAAGAATAAACGTGGAAGGAGAAACTTTGGAGTTTAGCTAAAATTATCTCTGTTTTTTTTTTGGTATCTTAATTATCTTGATTTAAATAAAAAATAATTATTCTCCCAAATCACTTTCTCATATATGTGTACTGATTCGTAAGATTATAAACTCATCTGCTACATTGATTATAATCCACAAACATTAAAACATCGATAATTTATATAATATTTTACACTCAACTCTAAATGTAATGAGAAAAGCTTAACATCAGTTGTCAGCACTGAAATGCAAACGTCAATCGGAATTAATTTCAATTTACTCTTATACGTAAAGTTGTTAATAGATCAATAGTGAGCATTGGACCAAAAAAAAGGATCAATAGTGAGCATTGGATGAAATTGCGTAAGAAGCGTTATAATTGCATTGCGTGGCATAATTATAAATAAGGAAATTCATAAAGGCTCGCAATAAATGTAATGTTAAAGTCTACTCACATAAATTGTTATGATACTAAATTTGGCATAATATGAAAAATGGCCGTTAAAATATTGTAGTAGTATAATTTGGCAATGTCTTATTATTATGGAAATGTGCAATATTGGATGGAAGAAAATGTCTATAAAGGAAGTAACCTTTCTAAAATCAAATGAATTCTATATATAGATGGTATATGTTATATCCCAAACTATACATATATACATGTAAAATATATAAACAATAAATATAATGATATTAAAGGACATAAATAAATTAGCAATTAAATATTACCATAAATAAACACTAAATATTTCATTACAAATATACGAAAGTAGGTTCAAATCCATCCCAGTTTTATGAGAAAATATTACATAATGAGAATGTTTAACAGTTACATGAAAATATAAGTACAGAGGAATTAAAGTTATGGCCAGCTCGGATCTCCATGGATATCGGTAAAAGGAAGCCCGACAGAAAATAATTCAAGTTAACAATTGAAAAAAGATTAAAATAAACTATAAAACATATTATATATATTAATACCAATTAGAAAAATTACCAGTCAAAATAATCAGAAACCTCTTTTATGTGAGGATTGAAAAGTATTTCAGAATGGTCTCCCGCATTCCTTATACGATATCTCCCTGTATGATTTTAAAATATAAAGGGCACACATGTTAGAAGCCAAATTATCATATTAACAAAGTGGAAATGAATGTTCCCACTCGATTATAAAATTTAATTACTAACCTTCAGAATCATAGGCCAGCCGAAACATGCGCAAAGTCAAGACTGTTTCATAAGTACCTATGTCTTCCCACTTCTTCCAGAAATCCAGAGCAGTCTTCCCAATGAGTTCGATGTCCATATCAACATAACTAAACCAATAAATTATATTACAACAACATTAACTAAAACACAAATACTCAGAATTATAAGACAAATTATTGGCCTTTACATATATAGATGATAATATAAAATATCTTACTTCATGTCCCTTATCTGAATGTCCAATTTGTGAGAAGGTCAAAAAATCATCTCGTATGGGTCATCAATGTCAGTACTTAGTTCATCATCAACATAAATGATTACGCCGATCAAGTCTACAAAAAAATATTTTC